GGCAGCAAGGGAGCAGCAAGAAGGCAGAACCCAGGAGGGCAAACAAGAGATGGGGTCTAATGGACAGACATATGACAAGGGAAGAAGCCACAGTGCGAAACGAAAGGCAGGCAAGGCGCATGCAATGGCTTGCAAATGATGCAGCAGGGCAGCTGCTTGTCAAGAGGCACCATAGAGGGGCCGTATCACGGAAACATGACAGGCAGCAACGACTCCCGCTATGCTGCTACAGTCCTCTTTCTACCCTAAGGCCAGCTTACGGGTACACAACAGCTTGAGAGCTCTTTCAGCTCATCGGCTTCATCGAGGACGGCTAGGGCGGCTGAGGCAGAGACTTCTGCATTTCTCGAGCAACCAAGAAACTCCCGCAGCCTGCACAGCCACCCGACAGAATCGTATTCAAATGCAAACAGAATCGTTCAAGTGTATGCACAGGTGGATAAACACACACACACACACACGACACACACACACACACACACGTACTGCAGAGCTGCAGTTCTCAGATCAGGAGAGAGCCAGTCATGCCGAGTGACTCGCAAGCGAGCGCGTGGCCAGAAACACAGAAGAATGCAATGCAGCAAGCAAAAGGGGAAACAAAAGGTGTGCAAATACAGGCGAATATTCACCAGGCTGCGCTTTCCATGAGGCCTCTTGTTTCGCATTGTCTTACAGCCCGCCAGCCCTCTAGAGCCTCTTGAAAACTAAGACTCTGGCTGCTGTCCATTCCGTGTTAAAGGACAAGAGCCGGGTCTTTAAGAGTGGTCAAACTGAACTGGGCAACAAAGGAAACAATTCTACTGCCGCTCTAACAACTCTGCCTGTTGAGTGGGAAGGGTTAGACGTGTTCGATGTGTTGGCGACATTCTATCATTGGAAGGAACGCCCCAGTACGCACATCTGCTGCTGACATTCGTATTCTTTTTCTCGCACGTTTCGTACTTGGCAATCACTATGACCGAACGCTGCATGCACTGGCCCCCTTTGTACGGGCTTTTTTGGCTTTCGGGAGGGGTTGTTGTTGCTGCGCAGCATGCATTGAAGTCCACCTCCGTCGATTTGGTCCGTTATTGAAAATATCCATCGTATGACAGTATTTTTTAGGATTAGTTCAAGTTACAGATGAGGTGGTCGTGTGGTCACCTCCCCTGGGCCCCCAAACACCGGGTGCACGAATTCTGTGGTTAGCATTAATGTTTGCCCGTTTCATGCTAAAGGCGTGCTGAAGGTGGCTGAAGGTGGTCATGGTAGTGCTGTGAGACGCGTAAGAAGGGGACAGACAATGCTCTGGGCGCAGCTTGCCTCGATTGTGATGGTATCTGGAGACGGATAAAATGCCTTGATGTCCGCAACCAACTTCCTCTGGCTTAGTCGCACTGTGTGCATAGGAGTTAATCTTCTATCTGAGAAATCATATCGATTTTTAGGTAATCAGCTGCGTCAGTTAACTTCTTCTTTAGCTGACCTTTTAAGATGCCCCGTCATAGGACTCCAGCAACTTTCATACTGCCAACGTAGCGAGCAAGGGTGCCCTTCTGTACTGCAGAGAAGCGATAGCTCAGTGCAAATGGACACAACTGGCTCGTGGAGTTGCGCTACATGCTACTTGCAACCAGCTGTGAATGCTCGGAGTGCTTGGAGTGTGCAGCTACGCACACCCAACTGGCCATTATTCCTCATGTCGAATCTCTGAGGGGCAGGGACAAGGGGAGGAGGGAGATGTGTTATAAAAATATTCAACATCCTATTTCGCTAATATGGAGTATCGAGCGAAGTGTCTCCTCACGGATATCTTAGATGGAGCGTTACGCAACAGTCATTTATTCCCTTGTAGTAAGCCAAAGTCGCATCAAAACAACACATACTTCACGTTTTCACTGTCTTATAGAACAAAATGTCCGAAGCGGCTATGCATACACAGCAGGCAAGATAACACAAAGTTATTTTGCCCTCCTGTTCTCGAAAATCTTCCTGGGAAACCGTACCACTGTGTTTGCCGGGGATTGTCTTTATTCCGAATTTTGTAATTCCTAGGAGCTCTGTGTAGATTTCTGTAGCGTTGATTGCAGCTGGTCTGGCCACACAATGCCTTCACCGTAGTCTAGGTGTACACGGGTAGCTCCATTTGGGGACCTCCTACTATCCCAGCTTTTTTGAAGTGATATTTATCAAGTGTATGACCAACTGTTTTGGCTATTCGTGTGTTTTATTGGCTGCAACACAAATTTAGTTCGATATGTGTTCCGGTGTGCTAGTTTATGGGTGCAACTACCTGTGAATGATCGGAGTCTGTCTGAAGTCTCTGTAGGAAGAAGCTTCACTCTCAGAATTCAAGATCGAATAATAGGAATTTATTTACTATCTTTCAAAAAGAGCTCCCTGCTTCCCTTAGCCAAAGCCCCTTAGAGCTCTCAACACGAAGGGAAAGGGGCAGCTAGGGTTTACTTAGCTGCACCCTGCAAGCACTGCGAGCATTCCAAACTGAATGTACGCAGCATCAACCACAGGCAAATAGCAATGAGTCCAAGTGTATCTACCTACTAGCTTTCTGCAATAAAGATATACAAGCACACATACCACCTAGTCAATTCTTAAATGTTTGTTAGTCAAATAACCAGTGTGGTAAAAGAGATGTTTGAGAGTAGTCTAGCACACTACGTCTTCCTCTCTCCCGCCTACACCCATCAGTTCAAAGCATGCGCTCTCGTGTATCAGCCTGTGCGTTGAGACTTACTGCATGCGCTACAGCTGAAGTGTTCCTGCGTTGGCACCATTCCCAAGGTATGCAGAAAAGGGACAGCAGTGCAAATGAGAACGGCTGGTGTGCGCATTAATTGCTGAAGTAAGTTATACAGGAAGAACGGCATACACTTTATCAAAGCAAATGAGGGGCCGAATCAACCCATCGCTGCGGCACGATGGCTTGCTGTCATTGGAGTGCTTAAATGTGTGGGACTCCTGCTAAGAGAAAACAGAAGACAAGTAAAATATGTGATGTAATAAAATCTACATAGCAGGTAAGGAGTTTTGCAGTACCTTGTAGAGCAATCTCCGCATGCTAATACAGCCGTTGCGCGCAGCAGCATCAATTTCCATGCCAAAAAGGGGTCACAAGCACGAATGGAGAGACAACAATGTCTGAGGGTACCTGTTTATAAATCTGAGCGTAGACAACATCTTTACAATACATACCAGGAACGGTTCAGCAAAACACACAAATGAATGTACGTCCAGCTCCTGGGGATTTTGCAATGCGTTCAGATGTGATTGAATCTTAGGGATAATGAAGCGATTCCCCGAGCCGTGACATGTGTACCAAAGGATGAACTTGACCGATGTGCAAAGAATGTCGACGAGGATATGGATATTATGTTGACATTTGGCCTCCGGTAGTCCAACAGTAATGTCTAGAGTCAGATCAGTTTATATCCTTCTAGAATCCGGGAGGCTTGCTGCACGCAGGTTTCCTGTTTTCATGGAGACAGTCGCGTTTCAAAAGGTTCATGCTTCTTTTCCCGCCAAGTTGGTCTAGCTCCGGTGAAATTCAGGCAATCAATGTGTGACCTTACCCATCAGCCTGTTGAGCAGTCCTGTCGGCTCGCATCATCTTCAGAGACTTGATTTTGTATTTGCGCGGACCACTACTCGTTTGACTAATCTATTTGAGAAAATTCAGTCAAGACTTGTACAGTGCTGAGAGCGCTGAGGGCTGCAGCCAGGGGAATGCTGGAGCCCTCCTGCAAAACACTGAAGTACATTGTATTATGCTTGTGTCGAGTCTGGAATTATACGAGTCTTTCGAAGACCTTAGATGAAGAGTTACATGCGGTCAAAGACACAAATTATCTAGCACACACGCAATCAGGTTTTCATTGTGACTGATTCCCAGTTAAATACGACTGCCGTAGTACGAATTGCCTAAATATGGTCCAGCCCGCTACAGGTTAGGTAAGGCTTCGGCGTTGGGTCAGACTGTGCAGAGGGAGAGCGGCAACAGCTAAAATACAGAGATTTTGCCATGCATATGTGTCAATAGGCTCAAGTAGAGCATATATGGTGAAAAGGGTGGCTGCTACACCTTCAGAAGATAAGTGGTACATCACTGCTCGGTGGGGTGGAGCGGGCCAGCTGTTTTTTCGAGATCCTCTTCCCGTCTGTGCCTCTCTATTGCATTAAATTGAACAATGCACGGTAGATATACAAACGATTTCTGATGTCTGCACACGGTGTGGGGTGCAGACGGGAAAGGACTCTGCTTGCACCCGCGCAGACCAGAACGAGTCAACCGCGGCACACCAGTGGACACACACCAGAAATATCCCAAAGATGATGAGCAATGCATATCAGACATTGGTCAAATTAGAGTTAAAATATGAACAAAGGTTTTGTGCCTAAGACTGCAATGAATGCTGCTTTAAGAAGATCGCCTCGTAACCCAAATCCAACAACTAATGGGGGAGACGCGGTAGCTCACGTTGGCGAGCGAGTGAACAACAAAATATAAGCTGTATAATTCACTTCAAGGACGCTCAGGTAATCTTGTTCTGCACCTCAAGGCTTGGAACTCAAGCATGAGGGTTCGCGTTTGGTCAGCAGATAGGTGGCCACAATGATGGGGGCCATCCACGACTCCCGGCGCACGCCGCCTTTCGGGAATGTTTTGCTGTACTCAAGGAAGTTCTAGTAAGTCCGTCAGGAGTTTTCGTTGAGTTATTTGCTACTTAATGCAGGTACTCAAATATTTAACGCGATCACGGCGGTGTGCAGAGGTCATCTGCACATTTTCCGTCATCCCCCGAGGTGTCTGGGTCACCCGCACTGCTGCGCCGGTTTCACTTTGCGAATTCAGTGAGATATCGGGCCTTCGCAGGTGTACTTACGGATGGGCTAAGCCGTTGCTTGTTGATCCACAGCTTTAACGCTCGCAGCCCTAGCAGTGACCAGACGCGCGCAGATCTCTCACCTAACAACCAGCGTTGCCTCTTCGGCGGACAGCCACAATGGTTTCACTTGGGGGAAAAGAAAAGAAAGAATGCAACCAGGACCCATCGGTTGCTCCAGAGGCCCTTGTTCAAGTAAGATCTGCACGACTTCCCAACAGATATCTTACGATCAAACGAGAGCAAAATCAAATACCCTTAAGAACCAGCCAGCGACTTGGATCCAGTTGATAAGCACGCAATATCCCGTTCGAGGACAGATTTATTTTGTTACATACAATGTAATATGCTTCGTCAGCAGGGCATGAATGTCTGGTGCGATGCCGCACCGAGCGTATCGGAGGATTCCTCTGCCTTGTATTCAAAATGCGTGGTAATCGATGCATCCGACAGCCAGAAGGTCGTGCTGCGGGAAATGGCCAATCCTGAGAGCGAAGTCCGTTACCTCCTATATTCCAGTTCTGAAAAGAGGGGCCTATCGGCCGTTGCCGGTGGAAGTCTTGGTAGTTCCTTTCCACTTCACTGGCACAGAGGGTTTCTAGAAATAACGAACACCTGTGGTGCAATGAATTATAAGCACATGTAGATCAAGCGTAAAAATTACTATGCAGAATTTAACAGGAACGTTGCTATTTAGGCAAACCTGCCTGGTGCATGTTTGGGTGCTCTCTCAGTTTACAGCAAAAGCCACTCAGCTATTTTACTGCAATGAAAACTATGATCCTCTAGCCACTGCAGATGTTGGAATGCTTGCCCATCCAAACGCTGCTTCTGTTCTTGAAATGCTCAAGACTCGCTACCTGCACGACACAATTTATGTAAGCCAAGTCCTCGTCCGAGTTCGGTTTGGAAAACGTTTGTCTAGCTCGTGCTAGTCCTGAACAACGAACAGAATCGATTTGAGCACTATTTTTCTTTTTGATCTGCACATACGGCTCAGACTTTGGCCGATCCTTTGCTAGTTTCCATAAATCCTTTCTGGGATTTGGGATGCTCCACACAAGACACCATCAAGCAATACGGCGATGCGGCCAATCCAGGTCTTCTTCCTCCGCATATCTTTTCAATCGCCCGAAGAGCTGTAGACAATATGAACTCGACAGGGATAAATCAAACAATTCTTGTTTCAGGAGAGTCGGGAGCAGGGAAAACCGAGGCCACGAAACACATCATGCGATATTTCGCTAGCGCAGCTGGAGACATCGAAGCGGCAGTCAAGCGTGAGACCTTTACACCCCTACTGCTAGTCTTTTACAGGGATAGGCCCCTACTCTTCTGCTACCTCTGGAATCGTCTTCGTTTGGTATTTTGGGTGGGATGACATGGGCACGCAATGTATTTAACCACCAGAATGATGATTCACTGTTTTGGAGTCTACTCAGCCCGAGACACGAGAATAGAATCAGCAGTGATGGCGGCAAATCCAGTCTTGGAGGCATTTGGAAACGCAAAGACGGCGTTGAATGACAACTCGAGTCGTTTTGGGAAATTCGTCCGCCTGCAGGTACCTTGATCTACTTCAGCTCTCCTTTAAAATTATCAGGATTCCGCTAAAGCTCCATTTTTCACGTAAACGCTTAGTGTGGCGCTACCGAAAGCACAGCGGTTCAGCGTACGCAAAATAATCTCTCTCGGCGTTGACCACAGATACCTCGCCTGCAAGCTGTTCTAATGCTTGCTGCTCATCTCGTATCTGTTCGTAGATTGCAGCAGGCCCCCCAAAAATCCTTGTTGAAATGCGTTTCTAGATTTCTGGTTTTGCAGCTAGGCAAGGGAGGCGGTATTGAGCATGGCCACGTGCAGAGTTTTCTTCTCGAGAAATCCCGGGTGGTGGTACAGGCCGAGAATGAACGGTCTTATCATATTTTCTATCAGCTCATTAAAGGTGCACCTGAGCCACTAAGAAAGAAATTAGCACTAAAGACGTGCCAAGATTATAAATTGCTGAACCCTCATTGCGTCGATATTCCAGGCAAGGTGCGAAAATGTAAAATAGGGACTCCCGAACACAGAGCAGTATAAAGGCATAGTTGACTACAGTACTTGTGAGCAACTGTCGTGCAATTCTGGATGACTTCACTGCTGCAAACATTTGGCTCCTCATGTAAAGAAAATAATAATACGCGTTTTTGAAGTTGACCTACCCACGGCTCTCTGTGCTGGTCTTGCGGCAACCCAGAACGACGCAAAGGATTTTGTTGAGGTGCTCGCCGGGTTTCAGTCCATGGGGATGGATACAGAGATCGTGGAATCTGTTCTTTCTCTCGTGTCTGGAGTTTTGCTTCTCGGCAATGTCCAGATTGGACATGAGGCAATCGATGGGCTCCCAGATGCCGCCGTGATTTGCAAAGAAGACAGAAAGGAATTCGAGGTGTAAAAATTGTGAAAAAATTGGTGCTGGCATCTGCACCATAGCACAAGTTGCCGGAAAGCCAGCCGCCATAAGGACACAAACAATAAGAGCAGTCGAAATTGTTTTAATCGTAGACGCACTTTATTTACGAGTTTGTTTATTTATGACTGCAGAAAGCATGTGAGCTCCTATTTCTTGACGCTGAGGGAGTGGAGGAGGCCTTGCTGGTGCGTATGACTGTAGCGGGTTCTCACGAGGTGAAGGGCAGATGGACGCAGCATCAAAGTGAATTGTTGAAGGACTCCTTGTGCAAGGGCGTTTTCGAGCGGCTCTTTGAGTGGCTTGTGCGCCAAGTTAACTTTAATATCAGTAATCCAAAAGGAATGGAGAGTTTTATCGGTGAGTTGGGCAACCTGGGAGCGAGAGCTGAATAATTCAAATATATCTTTCTATTTGCTCCATCATGTGTAACGCGTGGTGTAAAGCTGGCTGGGCATACAACTCGAATCTCCCTGCAAAACTTTTCATGTGCAGGTCTTCTGGATATTTTTGGATTCGAGGTGTTCAAAAACAACTCTTTGGAGCAGCTATTCATCAACGTCACGAATGAACTGCTTCAGGCAACGTTCGTTGATCTCGTGTTTACACGCGTGAGCCATTGATCCCACAGTAGACACGTTGAGGCGCTCTGCTCTTACAGCCAGTCCCCACTCAACGTAGACAGCAGAAACGGACCTCTTTTATTGCGATCATTTGGTATGTGTTTCATAGGAGTCTGCGCTCTACGAGAGCGAGGGGATAACTACTGAAGTGCTCTATTTCGAATCTCCGCAACCAGTCATCAGCTTACTGTGTGCAAAGAAGAACTCAGTGCTCAGTCTGCTAGAGGACAGCTGCCTTAGTCCCGGGAGCACGGACGCAAAGTTAACGACAGCAGTCAAAGCACAGATCAAAAGTATGCTCTCTTTCATGTTTAACTTCAAGTACCGGTTGGATCTAGTATTCAAGCTGTGTGCTACACGCTTTGGATATTTGCACTGCATCGCCCTGTCACTAATGTGTGTTCTTTGCTTTACACTAGCGCGCAAAAAAGCAGAAAATATCATTTTTTTCATGTGATACAGAAGCAAGAAACCGCGGGTCAGAAAAACCAGGATCCGACTTGGACTTCACCATTTGTCACTGCATTGGAAACATCACTTATTGCACCGAAGGCTTCATTGCAAAGAATAAGGATCAGCTGCGGGCAGAGTTCGCGGAGCTGCTTAGCGCCTCTACCAACCTCGGTACACAGGACAGACAAAAAACTTTAATACTACTCAACTAAGTCCAGAAATATACTTCAGCGCGAGTCGGTTTATTCGATTCAGACAAGAAACCTGTCTCACTACCCTACACGGTTCCACCTACATCTATTCCTATATTCGCTCTCCTGCCATCGTGCGTTCTTATGCAGTGGCATCGCAACTTTACGATGGAGTAGAAGTCGTTCGTGGGAAGCTTATGAAAGGCCAGCTGATTGGCTCGCAGTTCCTTGTTCAGCTGCAAAACCTAATATCCATCATTGAAGTAAATTGACGGGTAGTGGCACAACTTTTGGAAGAGCTGGAAAGAAATTGCCACCCTTGCTCTGTGTTCCAAGTGTGTGTTGCTGAAACTATCTTTACATGCATCACCATTTTTGCTTATGGTCTGAATTTTTGAGCAGGAAACAGAGCCACACTTCATTCGCTGTGTAAAACCAAACGACGAGAAATTGCCCAAGCACTTCAACGCACGGAAGATCCTCCCGCAGCTCCGCGCACTCTCCATTTTGGAAGCCATACAGCTGCGCAGTGTAGGCTATTCATACAGGTACGACGAATCAGAGGCAAAGTCACTTTGACAAGAACGAATTCAGATGTGTAGCGACGCATGGATACCAAAGACTGAAAGCTCACTCCATTGCAGAATCTTGGGGCGCTTTTGCTGGAAATGCTGCAATGCCTGCCACACACCGTATTTGAAGCAGCTGCCAATCGGATCATGAAGCTCGTATTTGAAATGAAATCACCAAGAAGTGCGTATACTTTTTCACCTGCAGGCGGCCTTTTGCCGACTTTGTGCGTCAGTACCGCTTCGTCAACCTTTCCGCAATGGACACTATGCACAAAGATTCGCGTCAGGCGTCACTGGATGTTCTGAGCGCCACCGGACTGAAAGACACTGCTGATTACCGCATAGGAAAGACAATGGTCTTCTTGACACGCGATGCACATCAACGCATCATGGCTTTACAGAGAGGTCATCTAGCACATATGCGGCCGTTGGTAAGAACTCTTGAGGCAATTTGTAAGAGGAGGACACTCAGGAGAAATCTCGCAACGCATATACACACCATTATTAGACTGCAAGCTCATGTACGCCGTCAGATTCTCCTGCTCGAGATGCGCGGATACAGTCAAATACCACCAAAGAGCTTGCCCAGCCGAACGCCTACCATGGCATAAGCAACTCCAAGCAAATGAAGATGATCATTGGGCAAGACTGATCGGGTTGCCCGAATAAGATTATGAGAGTCTATTGAGATACGATGAAGCAATTTTTTAATCGGAGGCACCAGAGTTCTCCAGTTCCAAAGAGGCGCAACGCAAGAAGACCCCAGTCAACAGCCAGTAGGAAGGCCCTGTACTGTCCACTGTAATAGCACTTTCGTCCATATTTAGGGAGCTTTTTCACGAGTGCTGTTCTAATGAGAGGTCGATCATGAAAACGACGCAGCGCATGTAGCTATAATTTCCTATTGGCCTGTCTGGACTACTACGCAGAAATTAACATAAATCAATTCTTGTATGCTGGTGCAAAGAGTGGGTGCAGCCTACAATATTTAGATGTGCAAAGATATTCGTGAGGACAGCCAGCTCAAAATACCAGTTTTCTGTTTCTTACAGCTTGGGGCCGCAGGAGCTCAAAATCCGCTAAAAATGTAGATACTGACGTCACTGTATGCTGCTTGGATTCAACAACGCACGATAGTGTACTGCCTCTGCACTCTGCCCATCTCCAGCCACCCCTAGCTGAAGAATGGCTAAAGTACTATCACAGGGCAAAGCAGAGTGAGTACTCGTAAGTATTTATCTTGCGCCCTTTGAATCGCCCCTTCAATTGCCTGTCTTTTTGTGCATATCTGCAAGGCAAGTCTAGTAAGACGTGGACAACGGACGAATAGCCTTTAGGCGCCTCAAATCATTGCATACTGAAGAGTGTAGCGCTCTGGTTTGAAATGATGCTTTGCTGAGTTATGATCCGCGCGAAGCACTGCGCGCGTGCCAAAGTCTGGCAGTGTGATGGCTGTACGAGAGGCCCTGTTGTCCTCCCTGCGCAATCCTACTTGAGTAAGAAGTGAAGCAGATAATTTCTCCGAGATAGTACTAAAGTTATTTCGCTTACTTAGTGCAATCTTTCTGCGTGCGATACAATGCATGGTATTGGTTTTGATTGTGCATCAGCTGGTCCGTTGGGACTGCTGCAGATAGAGAAGTGTGTGGGCTTGCAATCATGCTCGCCTCTCATCGCTCCTGTCCCAGGCCATTCTGCATGAGCTCTGCCATCCGGGGCGAACTGCAAATTGTACTCTTAAGCCCCATGCATGCATCGCAGTAGCAAATTTCTCTCACTGGTCGGATCTTCCTCGCCCTCTTCCATAAATGGCTGCTATTCAAAACACCATCTTGGAGTATTCGCGTGGAAGTCGAACAGCGCGAGGGCGTGCCCGCCTCTGGGATCCCAGAACCCTTGCGCTTGCGTACTGAGCACCTAACTGTCTCTTTTTCGTCTTCCCCTTTTTCTGGAATCTGTTTAAAGACTCTTCTTGAGCAAGAAGAGATGCGTTGCTTTGATGGGTTTGACTTAGGTCCTTTCATGACTTGCAGGTCGGCCACATCAGACTGTATGGAACGGATGGCCGTTGAGGCAAGAGAATCTGCCTTTCCCCTCTGTTGACTGCTCTGAGTTCTGGGTCGGCAGTAGCTCAGTTCAGATGCACTTTTCAACCCTTGATCCTTACTCGCATATATGCTTCCCGATCTACAACGTTTTCGCTCTTTGTCTTCGCTGACGTCTTCCCCCAAGGCAACTTGTCTGCTATTATCGGCGCGTTGTCTGTTTCAAGACAGCAGTGTCGACTAAAGGATGCCTTTTGGGCTCTACGCAACAAGCTACTTGTCAAACATCTTTTGGTGGAAAACAGAGTAATTCAGTGCCATAGATGCACAATTTTGTTATGAAGGGCAATGCTGAGGAACTACATAGGTTGTCAGGCGTTGTTACCGCTCTTATTACGTGGAACTATTTCTTCGTGTAAATCATACACTTTTGCTTTATCAATTCGAGTGTTTACTGGCGTTGAGGAGCAAAGAGGTCTGCCAGAGGCGCACTGGTGACTGTGACAGCTGCAGTCAAAACTGGAGCGCAGCCCTTCTCGACATCCGCACTTGCCACACTGGCAGTTGAACATCTCAGCGTCTTCCACTTCGACCAGCCGCTGGCTCCTTTTAGCTGCATATTTAGTGGAATAATTGGATGAACTTCTTGTAGTAGCATCTGAGTCCGTTGTGGACGCTGTTTGGGGAGATTCATTTGGTACTTCCTGGTGGGTAGTACTCACCAGCTCTCTGTGCAAATCAGTGAACACGCCAGAGAAACCTTGATCATCTCTAGCTAAGGCCCTAAGCGCTGAATCACTGCAGTTACTGGATTACATTGCCATAATCGGAGCAACGCGTGGAAGCACTCTACCAAAAGAGCATGCAGGCGCGTATGTCGTAAACTCATTCCAAACATAGCCCACTTCTTTATCCAGGCAATGGTCTGCTGGGGTGGACTTCGCCGGACGCCCTTTAGGGCTGACGCGAGCATTTTCTTCAGAGCAGATTGACTAGTGTTTGACATTCTCTCTCGTGTACTGGCCTACTAGGCACACCGCAACACTACAGTGTCATCATTCACTATATTTAGGCACTTTGATAGCCTTCTGGTGGCTCATAACCGTGTTGAGTGCCTCAATGGAGCTGGTGCACTACTGTGGAGCACATGCCAGGAGTGGTCGGGTACATTAAGCCCAAGAACTGTCTAGCTTGGTCATTCTGTTGAAGGCTGCTTTACTATCAGACAGTTGTGACTATATTTTGTTTTTAATCCCCCCAAAACCGCAACCGTGGGTTCTTGTATTTGAGAACAGCTTCCACAAAGGTCACTAGGGAGCACACTGTCCTACCTTTAACCTATGAAGGGCGCCGACTTCAAAGCAGTCAGCACAAACAAAGCAACCTAATAATTAAGCAGTTTTTACCTAGCCGAGTGAATTTCGATTGAGGTTTTTAATAAGCCCAAGCGCGAGTGTTGTCGGTGCGCAGACGCTTCCAGGCCCTGGTGAAGGCTGCAGCAATGTGCTCTTCGTTTCTCACCCAAAACATGTATCGGTTCTCGACACTTTCGACCTTTATAAGATGATATAAGTAGCAGCTATCTCTGCTACAAAATGCGTCCCTGGAAATTTGCAGGTTACAAAGGTTTGCGCCGGACATCCCACAGTCCCACCAACTAGCAGGCCATGGGTGCTCGCGCCAGAATGCATACAAAAACATGTCCATAGAGATACAACTGCTGAGAATGCTGCTACACACGGCTGCCTACAACGTATATATACAATGGCAGAATGAACTTCACAAGTCGGCTCTGCGGATTTTCATATCCGATTCCCACAGCCTTTCAAGGAGAACGTAACGAGGTGACCACGGACGCAGCTCGTGGGGAAATCATCCAGCTCTGCATCTCCTGCTTGGATGGATAGTAAGATGTACCACATTTCCAATTACTTAATAAGGAATCAGGGGCTTGTTTAGGGCTTAAAGAACAGAAAACGTCAGTTGCTTTCGGGAAGCACCGAAAGTAAAAGGTTGTTCAGAACGAGGAGGCTCAAGGTTCGCCGATGAAATACCCAAAAAATAACACTCGAGCAAACTGTTCAGAATTTAAAATTTTGCAGCTGAGTCTCGGCTGCTTTCAATACGGCGAAGCTTGTTAAACCCCTTTTGCTTCGTGACAAGGCAATCTTCTGTGGAATTAATGGTCCCTGCAGTGAGCTTCATCGACGTGCAACTGTTCTCTAGGAAAAACTGATGTAGAAAAAACTACTACTTTTTGGTGAACGTCTTACAAGGATGACGTATGCTACTACTCCATGTGCTAGTACATGGAAAAACGATCTGTTCAGGAATTTTTAAACGAACGAAACTTCCACCAGAGCAGGAATGTTCTTTATCGGACGTTTATTGGACCTCAGTTCACCTTGCCGTCCACTTGCATGGGTTGGACCAATCGGAACGCTCCATCTAGGGCTGCGGTAGGGAGACGCTTAACTCGAGACTGGATAAATTCAATCGAGAGTTACTATCTATTTCTCAAAACCAGAACTTCCGCGTTTCCGTGCCCACGCCTTCGAGAGTTTAAAGGAAGAAAAGGGTCAGCAAGAGTGCGCGTAGATGTCCATTTGAGCACTCCGGGCACTTAATGCTGATGGCACACCAGCTAGCGCACGCGCACACACATGCCTTTTGGCAGTGAGCTAATACTGCTCTGCAATAAACAAGACATACGAACAAACATATCAGCTAGTCGATCCCCCTCCAGTTCTTAGTTCAATGCAACTAGTGTTTCGACAAGTTATTATGTGTATTTCAGTCCGCTACATCTTCCCCCCCTAACCCCTATTCGCCAGTTCAAAGCGTACAAAATTCCGCACCTCTAGGTCGAGACCAACTGCATGCACGACAGCGGAATAATTCCCGCCCTAACACTCCTCCCATGCGAATGAGAAAAGCAGGTGTGTGCAATAACCGCTAAAGTGAGAAATTAGACGGAAAGAAAGGAACATACCAACCAAGAACAAGCGAGGAACCAAGTCGACACGACAGAGGCGGCACCTGTCTTGCCGTCATTGGAGTGCTCAAATGTGTGGGTTATTTCTTACGGGAAAACAATAGACAGGAAAAATGTGTAAAGGGAAATTTAAAAACGCAGTATCTCAGAAATGTTGGCATGCCTAGTAGACCAATCCCTGCATGCAAAGGCAGCCATTGCATGTAGCGTGGTCGGTTTCCATGCATAAGAGAGATCTAAGCAAGAAAGCAGAGACAGCATATCTGCGAGGGCCTGTTAATACTTCTGAGCGTAGAGAGTATCCTTACAACGCTACCCAGGATTTTCTCTGCCAATACTCGGAGATAGAGAAAAGTATTCCAGGCAGAGGATATGTCCTGGGAAAGGAGAGTTACCAAGAAAATGCAAGGAATACCATCCAAGGCGAGTAGCCTTGTTAAAACAGCAGAGCCGCACGTTCTACCGCGTATAAAAGGGTCAGCAACTGCTCACGCTTCAACCACTCAGGTTGGCGTTTCCCGCTCTTGTTCACAAAAAGCTCCCGTTTAATCAATCTTGCATGCTCAATGAT